GCCAGGGAGCTGAGTTACATGGTGCAGCAGACCTCTCCTGTCCAGCCACTTCTATCAGCAGTGTATTTTGGTTATAAGCCTTCCTGTTCTGTTCCCCACTCTGTTTCTCTAGTGAATCCTCACACTTCCCTGTGCCCCAAACCTCTGGTCTGTACTCCAGTTTTTGTATGCATGAATGAATAGTTTGGCAATTAAATAAAATCAGTAAGGGCATCTATATCTACTCAAATTATTGAGCTTCTGGGACTGTTATCAATAATATTTCAGAAAATTAAGTTATGTAGCAAAAGATGGAGTAGACAAAATATAAAGAGTTACATTGCTAGAGTAACTGGAATGTTCTGGAATATACATACTTGCCAACATTTCCTGAAGTCTTCTATCTTTTTTATGACTAGGCAAAATAGCAGATAAAGTAATAGCATGTGAAAGTAAATTATATGGTAACTAATACATTTGCATTTATTAAACACCCATGTTATTTTAAAGGAGATCATGTATCTTTATTTACATATATAAATTTCCATCACTTCTCTAGGTACTATTGCCATTGTTCCATTTAAGATGCGAAAACTTAGGCAAGTTGTGTTGTTTGCCCATTACTTTACTTATAGTGAGATGCCTGACCAGTATTATGCATTGAGATTGACTGCTTCTAGGGATTTTAGTTTAAACCACCACAAAATAGTTACCTTCCTAATCAATATAAATCTAACTTCAACATTATCAAGAAGAATTTTTATCCTTAAAGTTTATGAATAAAATAAGTTTATTTATAATGAATAAAATAAAGTTTATGAATAAAAATAAATTACTGTTGATACTTTTTTTTTCAAAGCTATCAACCCACAACACAGAACTTTATTAGGGGATGGGCGAAAGTGGTGCGAACAGATTATAAGGTGCACATGGTGGGGCCTAGGATCCTGGGGATTTTAGAGAGTTTTGAGGAACGGTACTGGCCAGGAACTTCTGTACCCATCACAAGTGGAGGACAAGAGGACCAGGGCCTCAGAAGTGGACGTGCCCGTGGTGTGGTGAATGAAGTTGGTTTCATTCTCGTGGACAGTGACCAGTGTGGGACCTCGGGGGTGACTGCACTGAGGTCCCTGTCCATAGAGCTGCCGCCTGAGGTTCCAAGAGATGGGTTGCAGGTGCATGGAGTTGCAGAAGCCACCTCGGGTACATTTCCCACAAGGTGGTCCCCAGGTTGTCGCACACATTTCATCTCTTCAATCTCCCCATACTTGTCCTGCAGTTCCCTGAACGCCTCCTTGTATAAGTTATCATAGTGCTCCTGCACCTCCACAGCGCTCACATGACAGTGAGATCCGTCTGCGGTTTGGGCGGTGTTCTGTGGATTTTGGTACAGGTTGAGCAGGACCATGGTCTGAACAGAATTTCCAAAGAGCTGGGTCTGAGCTTAGTGGGTGGGGTTTTGGATAATAGCTATTGTCATAGGCATGAAATGATAATTCAGAGTTGTTTTGATTTGTATTTCCCTAATGATAAGAGATGGGTAACAGTGGCTATCTGCATCTTTGAGAAGTGGCTTTTCTTTTATATATATATATATATATATATATATGAGTATGTATATATATGAGTATGTATATGTATATATATAATTGTTTCTTTTTACATCATTTTGCACATTTTTTTTTCATCTAAATTGTAATACCTGTGGGTTTCCCAACACCCAGTCACACATGTGAAGTCACCATGGTTCGGTGGACTTCCCTCCACTCCAGCACCATTTTTGATCCCATTCCCCACTCCACCCCCACAAAATGTCTCTGGTATATGGCTATCATTATTCTTGTTATTTTCTCGCCTGATTCATTATACTCCAGCTATGAGTGAAACCATCTGGTATTTTTCTTTCTCTTTCTGGTTTATCTCACTAAGCATGATCTTTTCCAACTCCATCCAAGTTGCTGCAAAAGACACGTGTTTCTCTTTTTTTAGTTGCTGAGTAATATTCCATTGTATATATGTACCACATATTTTTTATCCAGTCATCTAAGATTTTGTTGAGGATTTTTGCATTGGTGTTCATTAGGGAGATTGGTCTGAAGTTTTCTTTTTTGTGTTTTCTTTGTTATGTTTTGGTATTAGTGTGATGTTGGCTTCGTAGAAAGTTTGTGGTAGTTTTCCTTCTTTTTCAATTTACTGTATGAGTCTGTGTAGAATGGGCACTAGTTCTTTTCTGAATGTTTGGTAAAATTCATTTGTAAATCCATCTGGTATTGGACTTTTATTTTGGGGGAGGGTTTTGATTACTTCTTCTCTTTCCTTGCTTGTGATTGGTCTGTTTAGCTGGTCTATTTCTTCTTTATCTAGCTTTGGGTGGTTGTAGAGTTGTAGAAATTTGTCCATTTCTGTTAAATTGTCCAACTTGTTAGCATATAATTGATCATAGTATTCTCTGATTATTCTTTTGATTTCTGCTGGGTCAGTTGTGATTTTTCCTCTTTCGTTTATGATTCTGTTTATTTGTGCTTTCTCTCTCGCTTTTTTTTTTCTTTGTGAGCCTGGCCTGTCTATCTTGTTTATTTTTTCAGAGAACCAAATTTTGGTTTCATTGATTTTTTGGACTGTTTTCCTGACTTCCATTTCATTTATTTCTGATTTGACTTTTATTATTTCTTGTCTTCTGCTGGCTTTTGGGCTATTTTGTAGTTCTTTCACAGTTCTTTAAGGTGGGACATTAGGTTGTTTCTTTGAGTTATTTCTTGTTTCTTATGTGAGCTTGTATTGCTATATATTTTCCTCTTATAACTGCTTTTAATGTGTCCCATATGTTTTGGAGACTTGTGT